AACAAGCTGGCAATGAAGCTAGCAGAAGTATAGGCCTGGCACAGTATTACCAGGGACAACACATTCTCACTCCCGACTCGTCACATATTGACGCTTGGTCACAGCCCTTTGGTGTCGCTTGGCAACGCCCTGGGTACCCCTCATAGACTGTATATAAAAAGGTAAACCTCAACGTTTAAGGTTAGCAACTAATCTTTGTATTCTTTGAAGTACTTTACCTTTTGAAATAAGAATTGCCTGGACTGGTGACTCTTTCAAATCCTTCCTAAAGACCCATCTCTATTCATTGGCCTTGAGTAGTGACTTTTTACCTTTTCTACTGTTGTAGTCGTGTATATATGTTGTATATTCTGAACTTGGAAAGCACTTTGGTCAACTAGGGTTGTTTTTTAAATCTGCTATATAAATAAACTTGAACTTGAACAATGCTTAGCAACAACAAATATTCAAAATAAAATGCTTGCGTTTCGAAACATCGCAATTTTGAAACAGCGCGTTATTGAAGTCATGAAATGTTGCAATTTGTTAGGTTTATGTCACAAAACTACTTGGTGAGGAGGAAAAGATCATGGGTTAAAATAACTACGTAGGTCAGTTAACACGTAAGTTAACTTACGTCACTTGCATAACTTACGCAATTTACGCAACTCACGTAACTTAAATAGTTCAAAGTTGGGGTTCTGGCCCTCCATCCACCCCAAACACCACCTTACTCAGTCTTTTCTGTTAAATATCACATACCTTTACTGTCAAAATCTGCAGCTACAGGCCTTCCCCCAATGCGTTGAATTGCATTTTTATGCCCAGTGACCAGGACTACCAGGACAACCAGGACAGCACAACTCATTCCGTCAATTTTAAAGCACCAGCAATAAAGATTTACTTAATTCCTCTAACCCTCAGTGTCTCTCTATCTATTGAAACCTTATCTTTATGTTTAATCATAAAACAACACTTCGGATCGATGTGACGAAACAGAAGGGTTCTTCAGTGATAATGCAGCTAATGAATCAACCTTTTCCAGAGTTACATGGGAGCCAGGCTGCTGATATATCTGAATAAGATTCTAATCTGGCTGTATTTATATTCTGGCATGCAGTGTCCTCTCCAATCTTAAAGTCAGATCTTTCATTGGTTTCTTTATATTTATGACATGTAAATTATGGATATACTGAACAGGTTCCATTTGGCTGAAGGTGCTTTATTGTTTTTCTTTGTTTTGTCCAATGGCAAGTCGTTTAACATTGCCTGACACACAAATCATGGCTGGAATAGTTATATCTCAGTTTTAATCACATCATAATGTTCGACGCTCAGGTATGACCCTGAGAATGCAAACTCAGGTGGATTGAATGCGTTGCTGGTGTGTGAGCCTCTGAGTCTGACATGGCAGTGTGCAGCCAACTTTGTTAGTTTCTCCATTTAAAGAGCCAGGGCAGTGTGCAAACACCAGATTTTTATTCTGCACATACACCGGACGGACATCTAGCAGACCGTGAGGAAATATTTGCAAGATTGACAAAAAAAAGTTTCCACAGTCTTTGAGGATTTGGGGTGCCATGTCATCTGCTGGTGTTGGTCCACTGTGTTTTATTAAGTCCAGAACCAATGCAGCTGTCCACCAGACAATTTTAGAGCACTTCATGCTTCAAACTGCTGACAAGCTTTAGGGAGAGGCTGATTTCCTTTTGCAGCAGGACTTGGCACCTGTCCACAGTGCCTAAATCACTAGTTACCGGTTTGCTAACCGTGGTATCACTGTTCTTGATTGGCCAGCCAACTCGTCTGACCTGACACCAGACCCAACAATACAGATGCGCTGAAGGCCACTGTCAAAGCTCCTTCTAACACCTCAGCACTACTACAGGTTGATTATTGCTACACCGTATTGATGCAGTAATTCGTGCAAAAGGAGCTTCGACCAAGTTAGAGTACATAAATTAACATACTTTTTAGAAGGTTGACATTTCTGTATTCTATAAAATTCAAATATTTTCAGATACTGGATTTTTATTTCCTTGAGCTGTAAGCCATAAAACAAAAACAGGCCTTGAAATATTTTACTTTATGTGTAACGAATTTTGAGTATATGAAAGTTTCACTTTTTTAACTAAATGAAGGAAGAACTTTTCCACGATATTCAAATGTTTTGAGAAACGGGGCCCATTTCGCTCAGTTAGTACAGCATGCGGTTCGAATCCAGTTTCCACCCTTTCACCTCAATCACTTCAGTCAACTGGGTGGCAGCAAATGAGAAATAACTGGAATCATTTCTCATTGATCTGCCTGCTCCTGCGCTGTGGGCAGGTAGCGTTGCTGCAGAAAGGTTTAAATATTCTGTCTTTATTCCCGGGGCAAAACAAGGTTAAGAAACCCTCTGTTCATTTATCTTCCACCAGACAGCCGGCATGCTACATTGCTGGCCTGGATGCACTAACAAGTTGATTAATGGCTGTGGTGTGTGGGCCAAATTTTTCTCCCTTGCCTTCTTGTCTATGCTCTATCTGCCAGCTACAATCGGTTCACTATGAAGGAAAGTTATCTAACGGGCAAATAAGGCTGAGGGAGAGGACGCCGTCTCATTCACCTCCAACACAAATGAACAGAAATATTTTTGTGCAGAGGGTTAGATGAGGAGTATGGTCACTGTCTACTGTTTGCTCAAGGACATGTGGCTGGAAAGGACACATTATGTGCTACATTATGAGCAATCGGCCTTCTGCTTTTATACAGTATAACAGTTATCTCTTGCGCGCAGGGACAATCAATGTAATGTTTCTTTTCATATTGTCGGCGAATGATGTAAAGACACAGAAAAGTCCATACAATCCGGGGTTATGCTGATGATGTCAATGTCATACATGTAAACAGCTGTTCTCAGCTGACCTGACAAAATCTTTCGCAATTTGTTACTGTGAAAGTTATTTAACATTGAATAACGCTCTGATTTGAAAAGTCACATTTTTTTGGACTAGGAGGTGTAGACTCTCAGCTTCTTCAACTGAATTCAAGTCTGCTTTTGTTGAATGCTTCAAAAAGGGTGTTATCTTTTCATCAAGTTTGAAATGTTTGAGTTAGAGAGATTTCAGGAAATCAACATACAGTGTGCAAAAGTAATGCAACGTGTGTAAGAATACCTACTAGCTTTTTGTCTACCAGAAACAAAACCTTTTTAATATTCTACTAAACCAGGAGACATGGCTTCTGAATTTGCTGAAGAAAGTATGGATTGAGTAAAAACATTAATATTTCATTTAAATGTTTATGTATTATTTCTTTTTAAAATGTTCTGTGAAATCTAACTAATATATCTATGAAATTTATATAATAGTAAATAATGTTAATAATTTGTGCTTTCTGAAAGTGAAGAATTGATTATTGAAAAGAAGGAAAGCAGGAACCTAAGTAAAGTGTCTTCAAACCAAGGCACATCAAACTAACATGTTTGTCAAAATAAAGATTTTGGGGCAACTCTGTTAGTCAAATTAATTTTATTATCATGGATTTCAAGCTGGCGGCTCACAGGGACGTGAAACATCCATATATCACAGAAATGTCAGTCAGGTTTGCACAAAATCATAACTCCGCAAAATGAGAAAATATCCTGGGGCAAGGCAGCAATGCATGTGAACCTGTTCCGAGCTGCCTAACAGACAGGAAAGTACAGCAAGTAAAGGGAGGCTGCAATACAACAGTGTAGAGGAAGGTCATGAAGTATGTGAACTAAAAAATATCTTCCCACAGTGCAGAGGCAGGGATGAGCAGCTTATAAATGTCTTTTTGAAACTGAAATCTCTCAAACCTTATAAGATGTAAATGTTTCTGAGATTCTGAATACGTTTTTTTCTTGTATAAAAAGGGTGTTAGGACTGAGGTGCCACATCATTGAGTAATACCATTCAAAAGAGAGTTGCGTATGGTTTATACAACATATAATCTTTACCTTAATCAGTTCAGGCTCTCGAAGGACAATTTTCTATTTGACAATTATTTTCTTTAAAGAACTTTTCTGCATTTTTATCGTCAGTCTTCTTCTGATGTTTAATTTTCTATCTCTAATATTTTCCTAAACAGAATTCACCCAAAACAGACAATTCCACATAATGGGGTGGCACCTATGACCGGGCCCCGTTGACTGAGAGGGGTTAGGGGGAATGGACTAGTATTGGACAGCATGGTGAGAGTTTCCTTTCAAAAAAGTTGCTGAAAGTTGCTCCTCAGGCACAAATGAACAGGACTGCTCCAAACAGAGGGTGTAAATTTAGAGGGTCTTTATGCTGTATGTACAGATTGTAAAGCTGTTAACACTCAATATCTTTTACTGTAGCGGTATGAACTTAAGTTACATCATCATGTGGCTCATGTCCTTTGTATGATTTTAATTTAAGAAAGAGAAGAAACATTTAAAGAAAGAAAGAAAGTAAATTTACCATCAAACATATTAAATTACTGGCCATTTACTGTTTAGCTGATTACCTAAAGACCTCTTGATTGATCAGTCAGACCATCTATTGCTGCTAATAGATCTGTAGTTGTATTTGGTGTAAAAAAAAAAAAAAAATCAACCTCTGAGTTTAAAAGATCTCACTGAATGACTCATGTGAGAATCTCATGGGGACCACTAAAACACCCAAAGACTTGAAAGAATTCTGGTCTGTTATTGAACCATGAGTGTGTTTGCTGGAGGTCATACAGTGGATTCAGAGCTGCTGTCACAGAAAGATGGAGATGGGAAGGTGGAAGGAAAAAACAGAGGGTTGAGAGGGTCTGAAGAGCAGGCCACAGCTGTGGAGGAACAACTGCCTGTGTGTTCATCCCTCTGGCTCTCAGTGTGGAGAAACGTCTTAATGAGGACACATCTGAAGCCCCCTCTGTCTAACAGCAAGAACCCAGATATCTTTCTTCTGATTCTGTTAATATGCTGCACTTCGGCACAGCACCCCGGTTTTGAAGACACTTCAACACCTGCAGGTGCTACAAACTCCAGGTGTAACAAGTTATTACAAAACACACCAGGTCTGCTTTTAATGAACATTATGATCAAGAATTGCAAAAAAAAGTGTTCTTTTCCACATGCATTTCTTTGTAATGATAAAACTGAATGATAATGAATTACAATATTTTGGAAATATTAACAATGTTTGCATTTTCATCCATATTTTTCATCTATTTTGCACAAAGATAATTGGATGGGAATGCTCTGCATGTATTTCCTCACCTTCATTAACTCCCATCTCGCCATCTCTATTAATTTTTATCCACCGCTCAAGCTTGACGGTTTTTCTTTCTCTTCTCCCGCTATTTTTCTTATTATTAAGTTATTGTCTCTCTCAGTTCTCTCTCAGTGAGTTTTTCTTTGTTTCATCATTTATCTCTCACTCTCTTATCTGCAGAGGTTGTCACTATCAGGCCCTTGCCAATTTACAGTGGAGTCTGACATAGGCAGTCAATCAAAAAAATTGGATCTGGGCAATGAATCGAAATGAGCATTAGGGCTTACAGTGTGAGTATAGCTTAAGAGTATTGATTTTTTTTTAAAAACGAGCCTATGAGAGTCGTAGTATTGATAAAATCCTATTGATACCGATCCTTAAAGGTTTAACACTACAATTTATATAAAACTCTATTTTTATTGGGGTTATTGGGAACTGTGGTTCCGGAGACTGATACCATTCAAAGCGAAAAACAACATAACTGACGCTGTTGAGAAACTCATCTAAATTGATGATGGCTTCTCAAATATTGTCTTTGACATATCTAGTCTACTTAATATAACATTAATCTTGATTATTTTACAATTGATGTGCTTGTTGTTGTTGCTGGACAGGAGAGGAAACAATACAGTGGAGAGGAGAGCAGATTAGGAGAGTAGTATGAGAACATGTTTTTAGAAAGCAGTGTCATCAAGAAAATCTGTGATTGTAATTTTCCAGGACCTTTAGCTGCACCTGTTTTTGCTTACAAAATAATATAATGACGTGTAACTGTGTCAGCATAACTCTGGGCATTATTATTATGGTGGCTGAGAATAACTACCCTACATCACAATATTTAGTTTAATCCAAATGTGTTTCTCTGGTGTCTCTGAGGTGTCTGACCACAGCTCTGCCGAACAGCAGAATGCAAAATACAGCTGTCATGACAGCATATGATCTTAACACAGTCTTGAGAGCTGTCAGGAAGTCAGGATGTGATGTCACTGACTGTCCTCGCCCCATATGGGCGTAGACCAGAAGTCGTATCTTGGCGGCCTGCTGACCCTGCAGCCAGCAACAGTAGACACCTAATTAACAAAAAGAATATTTAAGTGACATTAAACAAAATATACTGGTTATCACACCAGGTTGAAATGAGAAAAACAGGCATTCAAAAGAGGAAATGGATTTCAGCAGGATCACATTAAAACACCAACACATCATAGATGATTGCAGGGGGCTACAACACATACACTGGAACTAATGCGGTGATGAGGGACAGCTGAGCAGCCAGGTGCCTGGATCACATGAGTGACTGAGGTGAGAGTGTTTTTGCACAAACTGGGTAGTGAGTAGCTTACGCTGACCTGAATTGGCAGCTTGTGAGACAAGTAAACAAAACACCACCCGAAATCAAATCACCACCTGATAAACACACATTTTTCACAAACTTGTACTTGCTGACAGTAAGCAGTGGTTGGTACCTGAGTCCTGGGTTTTTGCAGGGTTAAACACCAGGTGGTGTCCGGTGTCTATCAACAGCCTGGGGGGCGTGGCGCTGAGGTTATGACCTGCCGAGTGTTCAGATCGGTAGATGGGCTCAGATCCTCTGTCCCATGCCACAGCCATGTCAGGTCGTGCCCCGGGACAGCCCAGGGTCAGAACACGGTCTGTAGGGTGGTTCAAGTACAACACTGGTACCTCCTCAGAACTACAACACAGAAACAGAGATCCATGATTTAGTATTCTATATGGTTCGTAAAAAAGGTTGTTTTTAGAAATAAATAACAGTTTGGACCTGTTAGTAGTTATCAACTTTGACATTGTTAGAATGATAAATTTGCTGCTACAAACACCTGAGTCCAGAACAAAGTATCAGATTCATGGTTCCCGCTGGATGATTATTGCTGATTTTGGTGACCCACTGACTGTCTTTATCAAGATCAACTTTCTATTTGAACAAAACGTTCTTTGTTCCCTGCAGCTCTTTTGTATGGTGTTGGTATAATTATTCTAGTGGATGCTAGTGGAGCCTTACACTCATAGTCAGGACTAATGAAATGATTGCAGCATTTAAACCTTTGACTGATCATCAGTTATATTTGTTTTATGTTTTATGCATAAATCTGTTTCTGTGTTAAAATGTACCCATCACCTAAATGCCTGCATTTAACTGCTTTTAACTCAAGCACTTCACAATAAGCCTCTCATTCAGTCTTGCAGATATGTGTCAGGGGGAGCAGAGGATCTGTTGACAACCTGCTCTACCTTCCTTCTGAGGCCACAGCCACCCCACCTGTCTGATGTATGTACCTCTTTATATTTATCTACATGCTTACTTGTACCCCAGAAATGCCATCGGAGCAAGGATTTTGGAGGATGGAGGAGCTTGAGTTGGACAAGTCACTTCACAGCTTTTGACCTCCAGCTTGGCTCCAACTCGCATCAGTTGCCCAAAAGGCACCCCTCCTGAGCCACATGACGCAACTGTCTGATTGACCCGTCTGTAGCGTATGTGCAGGAAGTGGGAGTGGACGTAGCAGAGTCCCACACGAACTTGCTCTCCCGGTACTCCACAGCGATCACAGACTGACCAGGGCCGGAACGTGGTGAAGATCCGGTACAACGGCTGAGCAGAGCTGAGTCGTTTTGTTTCATTTCTTTCCTCTGTTATAGTTTCTGGAGTGAGCCTATGAGCATCAAATCAGAATATGAATCCCTTCATGATCAGCAGTTCAAAATGGGTTACATGGGTAAGAAAAATATCATTTGTTCAGAATCTATAAAAAATGTATGACATACTTATCAGTAAAATAACACATACATCATCATCACAATTTGACAGCTGTTATGTCCAATTTCTAATAAAGCCACAAAGTCATTGACTACCCGTCTTTCGCGTGACCTTGGAGTGAAGCTGAGTGTGTGCGCCTCCTGAATGTCCAGGTCGTAACCATAGAAGAAGTCTTTGTGGGCAGAGCCACAGATATAGATGCCGGAGTCGTGAGGCCCCGCTCTGAAGATCAGCAGGCTGAAGAGACGAATAGAGAATCGACTCTCCAGGCTGCCGCTGTGAGGGATGTGACTGGGGTCCAGCAGCTTGTTGCCATGGTGATCTGTCAGGACTCTTGTCTCCTTGGAGCTGCCCAGATGTTTCTTGAAGAACCAAACAACTGACTGGACCTGAAACACACAGGCAACTAAATGACCAAAATATATGGTCGCTGGTCTCATTTTGCTAAAACTGTCACTATATCTGTCACGACATAGTGACAGTTTTAGCAAATATGACAAAAAGTTATTTTTAAAAGATTTCCCCACTGCTGCTTTAAAGAGTGGGACATGAAAATTACACAGACATGCATGTAGTGGTTTTACCTGTTCTGGTTTGCAGTGGCAGGGCATCTCCAAAGTGACTCCAGCCAGAAAGGCAACGTTGATGAAGGTCAGGAAGGCAGGACAGGCTCTTTTTGCAAACACATCCTCCTTATCCTCAGGAGCTTCATAGCTCCACACCTCAGGACACAGGAGGAGGAGGAGGAGGAGGGGAGAGGATGGTGGAGGGGGCATTAGGCTCTCTGAGGACAAAGAGGGTTCTTACAAGCTGCAAAAGTCACAACTTCAATAAAATATTTCTGCAGAATCTCGGAGAAGCCTCCAGAGTGTTTGTTCTGTCTTATTTAACATCTGAAGAATGAAACTCAAACAAGGTTACTTTCAAAACAAAACAGCTTTGATGGAATCTTATGAGATCACTAAGGACCCACCCTCTGTTGTCAACGCAAACAACCCGTATTATTACATTTTCTGACATAACACAAACTAGTCTTTGTTTGTAGGAGACATTCACAAACAACAGCAATTCTTTTTTTTATCTCCTTTGTTCTGAGAACATTCTGACTAAATTCTATTTTCCTTTCTTCCTCTCAGTAAAGTTTGTAATTTTCTCTGTCCGGCATTTAACCATATACTGCTGTTTCTTTTATATAATATAGACAAATGTCAGCTGAGGTTGCTATGGTAACAACACACACATTAGAAACTCTATGGCTAAAACTTCAGAATTATAAATGAACCACACCACAGGAAAAGCTACACACAGTCCCTTTTTGTAAATTGTGGGAAGAAAACTTCTTTCCTCTCACATTAAAATAAAATGTTACCTCCACAGTCATGAGCAGTTATTGATCAGTCTGTCTCATCATGCTAGTTATCACAGCCATGAATCAACCTTTAGAAAAGGTGCTACTTTTTTTTACCCGTTGGAGAGTATGGAGTTAGATTAGCCTCAAAATGAATGAATGCACACAGGAGCATTAACATATGTATTTTGGGATTTAAATACAAATGTCTCTCTCCACAAAAATGTTCTTCAGTGCACACAGAAATATTAAGTGTTCCAATTAAACCACAAATAAAAAAATATGGTTCACAAATATATTTCTGATGCACACGAAAATATCTATTTATGTATTTAAAAGTCTTTGCAATTTTCATCAAACATATTTGGATGTTGTTACATTTATCTAAAAACTGTTGAACCTGCACCCTGCACTGCATTTGTATGTGGTTTTTTGGGGACTCCTGTGCCCCCCTCAAATCATAAATGCATTTTTTTCAACAAGGAATCATCTGTAGCCAATCGGATGGCTCCTTCTGCCTTAGCCATGTCATGTAAGCGTGAAAATTGCAAATACTTGAATATATAAAAACATACATTTGTGGATTTCGATTATATTTATTTAAAACAATTCATATTTATGTGTGCATCAGAAATACTTTGTGAACTGTATAATTTGTTTGTGTCCACTGAAAAATATTTTTGTGGAGTCATTTATATTCACAGTATACCCCTTAATCCTTCTGTGTGCATTCATATTGAGAATGGTCAAACTCCATTGGAGATAAGTACTTACACGATACAGTTTTAGTTGTCTTTTGGTGGTAGGCTCTAGAGATGGCAATGTCTATCTTGCGATACACAAGGTTGGTCCAGTCTGAAAATCTTTCTACAGGATGGATTGCTGTGAAAGTTTATATTCATGGTGCCCAGAGGATGTCTTCGGTGATCCCCTAAACCTTGTTCTAAATCACACAGGCTCCGCCCTCTATTGGACTCTATGGGTACTACCTCCTCCAATCACACGCACGCACTTGCCCACTGAAATTGTTATTGTGCACGTAGCCGACCAATAGGATGTTTGTTACGGGGTAGACCTGTATCAGCCAATTTTGAGTGCAGTGGTCGTGTGAGGGGTGAGCACTTAGAGTGAGTGTGCATTTGGTGGGTGTGGTTTTGCACTTGGGTTAATTGCATGGGTATGGACTAATGGCAGACAGGTGTGCTTGGGCATGACATCCATCTGCAAACTATTTAACCAGCCACACACTATGCTCAAGAGTCTTCTGTTTGTCTCCTGTGTGCAGTGTGCGGGTGTGCTGAGGCTGCTGATTCTTTGCAAGAGTGTGGTACACGGCTGGGTTGTGGTCTGGGGAGCTGCTGGTGTAGAGCCACCGCTACTCAGTAGAGTTACCAGAGGCCCAAGCAGTGAGGCTACAACCGACCAGCCTGTGACCAACAGCAGACCCGTTCCTGTTGTGTTTGGCTTCGCCCACGCAGGAAGACGAAGTTGAGCACACCCAGCCACGACAAACTGCAGTTCCGTTTAACAGTTTCCCCCATTTGAACTCTTTTTAACTATCTTAGCCTCAGTCTTGTTTTAACCCTTTGCATGTCTATTTTATACAAATAAATTTGGAGGTTATATTTTGTACAGCGTGTTCTATTGTTGCCCGCTTATTTTATGCACTGGTTGGTCAATTGGGAACTAGTTTGGAGGTGTTACATGTTGCTATAGATCCGTGTGTGACGTATAAATAGCAGTGTCCCTACTGCCTCAGCATCCTTTTTTCTACAGCACACGGCGAACTGCTCACTGAATTCACCCCCTCCACAGATAGAGTCACCACTTCTATAAATTATTCTTTGCCATCTCACCCTCCAGTTAGGTGAAGCGGGACCCATTGATCGTCATTCTGATAGAAGTGACGCAGACGTCCGTGACAGAGCCCTGGCCTGTGCCTCTGGTCTGGGGCTCTGTCACAAGGATGAGGCATCATACGCGCAATGCTGGTGTTGGACCAGCCTCTCCAGGTTTGGCTCCTGAAAAGGAGAGGCAGACACAGGCTGGTCTATCCGCTGAGGTCGTACAGACCATCCAAGTGGCTCCGCCAAGACTTGCTCCACCAAGCTAAGTGGTTGGGCTTTCAGCGCTGATGCTTTGAGAGGGAGACAGATCCGTCTACCTGTTCGGTGGTATACATTTTCTCGATCCTGCAAGGTCTGATGGCGAAAAGGCTGCCGCACTCAACCATCAAGGTGTACACAGCAGCTATCTCTCCTGTCAGTCTTCACCCACCCCCTCGTCATACGCTTTCTGCAGGGTGTGAGAAGACATCATCCAGTGTTGTGTCTCTTGTTACCTCAGCAGGACTTGCTGCTTGTGCCCTGAGCCCCAGGAGCATCCTCATTGAAAATTTTATCTCTCAAAAAACCTTGCTGCTAGCTTTCACCTCTGCTAAGAAGGTGAGTGAACCGTGTGCCCTGTCGGTTCACCCCAGCGGCATGCTGCTCTGTGGTAACCACAGTGCAGGTGGATTGAGATGAAACCCCTCCTTTGTTCTAAAGAACATAAGGAGCATGCTCAGGTCCAGGAACCCCTCCTCTTTAATCCCAGCTTCAGTCTGTATTCATTTGTTATTTATATTCCTCTTATCTGTAACCTGTGTTCTGACTGTTCCTCCAGTATTCCTCTGCATGGCTGTCTCCCTGCCTGCCTGTGTCTCGTTAGTCTCATGTCTGTCACCTGTGTTGCTCCCGCCCTGCTCGTTAGTCCCTGGTGTATATATGTTTGCTGTTTCTCCTCAATGACTGTTTTTCTCACCATGATTCAGTCAAGATTTTTAAATTTGCTGTTGATACCACTGTGGTGGGCCTCATCACTAATGATGATGAATCGGCTTACAAAAAAGAAGTGTCCTTGCTGGCTGAGTGGTGCTCAACTAACAACTTGTCCCTCAACATCTCCAAAACCAAGGAGATGGTTGTCGATTTCAGGAATAAAAATAGTAAGTCGCTCCAGCCCCTGGTCATCAAGGACAAAACTGTGGAGAGGGTGGAAAGTTTTAGGTTCCTTGGGAACATCATATCCTCCAGTCTTAAATGGGACACCAATGTCAGTCAGATTGTTAAAAAAGCTCACCAGCGACTCTTCTTTTTAAAACAACTTAGGAAATTTAAAGTGTCCCAGGCTCCACTTCTACAGAGCAGTGATAGAGAGTATACTTACTTTCTCCATCACTGTATGGTGGGGTAACTGCTCAGCAGATGATAAATCTGCACTGAATAGGGTAGTTAGGACAGCGTCAAGAATAATTGGGCTGGACCTCCCTAAGATCTGCGACATCTACAACACCCGTTTACTTAAAACTGGACTGAAAATACTTAAAGATTCTTTGCACCCTGCTAACTCTCTTTTTACCCTTCTACCATCAGGCAGAAGGCTAAGAAGCATCAGATCTAGAACAACCCGTTTTTCAAATAGCACTTACCCGCAGGCTGTGAGGTCCCTCAATTCACACCAACAATCCTTATCTATCCTTATCTGCCTATACAACTACGTCCTTCTCCTCAGTGTCACTAAATGTATTAGCACTTTGTCTGATTTTTGATTATCTGTTATATTTACTCATTAGTTTTGTGGTGTTTTTATGCTATGTTGTGATGATGTGTTTATTTTTGTCCAATATTGTCTTGTACTGTCCTGAATGAGCCAAATTACTAAAATGAATTCCAGGCGACTTGCGTCATTTTGGCAAATAAAGACTTGAACTTGAACAGTCCTTGTCTGGTCATTGCAGTGTTTTGTTGTTGTGTTTACACGCTGCCCCCTGTTGTAATGGTTGTAGCCTGCTTTGTCTCATCTTCCTTGTTTCCTGCCTATTCCCCGCCAGTTCTTTGGATTTTGGTTCACACACCTGTTTCTGGATTTTTCTGTTGGATCACCTTTGTTTTCTTGGAGTGTGTTATTTTGGATTCCCTCTGCTCAGCCACTCTGTATGTAAGTGTGCTCGCCCTCAGTTTGTTCCATTAAACCTTTTGAACTGAACCTGTCAGCCTTGTGTCCTGCATTTGGGTCCTCCTACCTTCTCCACACCACAAACCCTGACACTTTTCTCTAGTGCAACAATGAGGTTGGCATGCGGCAGAGATGGGGACTCGAGTTAGAGACTCGGACTCGAGTGTGACTTAAGTCGAACACACAGTGACTTCAGACATTGTACATTAGGCTACATGGTTGTGCTCTGTAAGTTAAAAACAGGTTACAGGTTTATTGTTGATTATGCAACGTCACAGTTTTATTTAGTTAACGTTACACTGGGTTTAAGACTCTGGGGAGTGTTTTTGACTTGCAGTATTTAATGAGCCATCAATAATTGCATTGCACATTACATGGTTGTGCTTTGTAAATAAAACAGGTTACAGTATTCCTTATAGCTATGCAGTTTTATAAGCAACCTGGATTGAACATAGCTGGTGATACAACATTCGTAATAACCATGAGAGACTTGAGACTTCACTTTGACTCTAGCTCAAAGACTTGTGAGCATCTCTGGCATGCGGTTTTGAGTAAAATGTCTGAACACCTGTTGGA